TACCATGTTAAGGGTGAGAAAAGAATTTCATTTTTTGGACCGCCCTAGTGTACATAGCAGAGCAAATCATTGTTTGTTTTTGTTTTATACAAATCCAAAGTTTGTCGATAACTCAACATTTGAAAACTAATAAATAATTTGCTTATCGGGCTTTTGCATTTTAAAAAACAAAAGCAATTTTAAGGAAAATTTCGACTGTAAAATTTAGCTTAATGGGATTTCTGTAAGGTCTACCGATATTTTAAAATTTAACGTTTACTTAAGATTTGCGATATAATCGATTTTTTTTGGCTGTGGTATTTTCATTTTCCCCTTGCGCGGTCACACTTAAATTGCGACAGCAGGACATACATATGTACATACATACATGCGCCAGCAGAACATACATACAAACATATGGGGACGCGTGACGTCACATCAGGTTAGCCAATTTGAAAATATTGGGGACTTGGTTAAGGATGCTGAATGTGAGTTATGTATGTTATAATTTAGGAAGTATTATTTTAATTAATCTAGTATTTATTTCGCTAAGTCCGATTGCGTCTGATTTAATTATAAGATTATTCACGAAAAATTCATACTGATTAACACTAACAAATCTAAAATTATTATCACATACATGTTCAGGTACTGAATTCAGGTACAAATTGTTATCGTCGATTTCATTAACATCCTGTCCCGGCGCACACTGGGGTAAAACCGATAGTGACGATCCAATCAGCCGACAAAAAATTTGAACATGTTATATAAATTTTTCGTATTTTTATACCCTTGCAGAGGGTATTATGATTTCAGTCAGAAGTTTGCAACGCAGTGACGGAGACGTTTCCGACCCCATAAAGTATATATATTCTTGATCAGCATCACTAGACGAATCGATCTAGCCATGTCCGTCTGTCCGTCCGTCTGTCCGTCTGTCCGTCTGTCCGTCCGTTTCTACGCAAACTAGTCTCTCAGTTTTGAAGCTATCGTGATGAAACTTTCCCAAAAGTCTTCTTTCTATTGCAGGTAGTATATATGTCGGAACCAACCGGATCGGATAACTATATCTTATAGCTCCCATAGGAAGGAAACGTTAAAAAAATTCTAGCTTCGGTGTTTTTTGAAATAAAACCTTCTACTCTTGCAAATATTATTTTTTAAATATTTCAGAATTTCGAATAAAATATTTTAAAAATCGGACGACTATATCATATAGCTGCCATAGGAACGATCGGAAAATTAATGGAAAAGTTACACAGAAATAAATTTTAGCTTTTTTGGTTTTTATTGTATTCTCTTCTACTTTAGAACATGACTCTTTTTAAATATTTCCGAATTTCAATTTTCATTTTATCAAAATCGTACGACTATATCATATAGCTGCCATAGGAACGATCGAAAAATTAATGGGAATTTAATTGGAAAGAAACTATAGCTCCGTTGGTTTTTATTGTATTCTCTTATACTTTTGAATTAAATTTAACAAAAATCGGACGACTATATTATATAGCTGCAATAGGGAAGGATAAAAAAAATAATATTAAAATAATACGAAATTTAAAATTTTTGCGATTTGTAAGTTAATAGGAACGATCTGCAAGGGTATATAAGCTTCGGCTGGCCGAAGCTAACTTTTTTTCTTGTTAAAAACGAAAAAACAATGTTTCAACTTTGGGTACGCATTGTTAGGTTTCTGTTAGACCTAGGACCATAATTCTTTCACTGCAAATACACAGAATTTTATCTATTTTCGCCACATATGACCCTCAATAAGCAAATCCAAAATTTGTTTTTTAAATTAATCGTCACTTTTTGTTTCGCTCACCCCAGTGTGCGGCGTTGATTTTTGCTTTCCAAAAATATGTAACATCTGGAAGGAAGCGTTTCTGACCATATAAAGTATATATTTTCTTGATCAGGGTCACTAGCCGAGTCGATCTAGCCATCCGTCTGTCCGTCTGGCCGCCCGTCTGTCCTTCCGGATGAACGCTGAGATCTCGGAAACTACAAAAGCTAGAAGGTTGAGATTTTTCACACATATTCTTGGGCAAGGTTATTTCAGCCGATCGCCACGCCCCCTCTAACGTCCACAATCGCCCACTATCGATTTTAAAATGTGTCCTGCGCCCACATCTTTAAACATTTCCGAGAAGTATAATTGAATTTTTTTGTGTATAAATATACCTATCGAAATGTAGAAGACTTTTTCAAATCGTACCATTCATTAAAAAGTTATACGCAATCAAAATTTCTATATCTATCTCCCTCGCACGCCCTTGAACTGAGTTTCGATTACACTGTGCAGCATTTTTAGTGCTTTTTAAATTTACCTCGATGGATGCTATATTTTTGTATTCGTTACGAATTCCCAAGTTAAACTGCGTTTTCCAAAAAGTTCCCCGACGCAAGGATTCTTAGCAAAAGGACCTCATAGTTCGAAAAATGCAGAAATTGTCCAACTTTCCGGAGCTCTCAGAGGCAAACGGATTCATGGATTGATTCGATGTTAACGTTTTTTAAAAGATACACTCTTTATCTTTCAAGCCCCATACTTAGAATAATTTTAGGATTTTTTTAAGACAGAAATAAATTCCAGAAAACATAGTCAAAAAACTTTAAAACATATTGCTGCGGTCAAAATAGAAGTAGTGTTGCCGCCCTGTGTTTTTAAAAGTTTGTTGATTTTGATAAAATCAAAATCGAAATTCGAAAATATTTGAAAAGAGTTATATCCTAGAGTAGAAGAGAATTCAATAAAAACCAACGAAGCAATAATTTTTTTCCTATTATATTCCCATTAATTTTCCGATCGTTCCTATGGCAGCTATATGATATAGTCGTCCGATTTTAAAAAAATGTTATTCGAAATTCAGAATTAGATAAAAAGTAGGATGTTATAGGTTCAAAAACACCCAAGATATAATTTTTTTACATTTCTTTTCCCGATTGTTCCTATGAGAGCTATATGATATAGTTGTCCGATCCGGCTCGTTCCGACTTATATACTACCTGCAATAGAAAGAAGACTTTTGGGAAAGTTTTATCCCGATAGCTTGAAAACTGAGAGACTAGTTTGCGTAGAAACGGACGGACAGACGGACGGACAGACGGACAGCCGGACGGACATGGCTAGATCGACTCGTCTAGTGATGCTGATCAAGAATATATATACTTTATGGGGTCGGAAACGTCTCCTTCACTGCGTTGCAAACTTCTGACTGGAAAGGGTATAAAAACTCGTTCAATAGAGAATTTTTTCTGAAGATTAGAAAATTTTTTCTCTTTATAGAATATTTTTTTAAAGCACAGAACAATTTTTTTTTTGTTGAGGAAAAAATAATTTTTGAGTGTACGGACGGACAGACGGACGGACAGACGGACGGACAGACGGACGGACAGACGGATATGGCTATATCGACTCGGCTAGTGACCCAGATCAAGAATATATATACTTTAAAGGGTCGGAAACGCTTCCTTCTCCCTGTTACATACTTTTGCACGAATACAATATACCCTTTTACTCTACGACTAAAGGGTATATTTTAACTACAAATTTCTATGAGTGTAGTTGGCTCCATTCATTTAGTTTAGTAACGGGCATTTGATAGCCGAGGAACTCGGCTATAGTATTCTCTCTTGGTTTTAAAGAATACTTTTATATTGAATAAATTACACAGGCCGACAAAATGTGACATGGGTCGATGTCCAGGCCTGCCACCATTTTATTTCGATAAATTAGGCTTTTCTAAGCATAAGTTGCCACTACGCCTATAGTCCATCAGCTCTGGTATTTGCGGTATCTTTAATTTAAGAAAATTTTCTTCGTCTTTTGGGATATATCTTCAAGAGTGGTCAACCAATTTCGATAATCTTTTCGGAATTAAATAGTTACATGTCTCTTTTATACGGTCGTTTTGGAAAATTCAATTTAACTCAACCACAAGAGGAGGTGGGCGCATTCAAAATTTTAAAGTCACAGCAAAGTTTAAAAATCTTCATTTGTGAACAGCGTTTAAAAATTAAATAAAAATATTTTCTTCAACAATGCATTTTTGATCCAAAGACACCTTGTGTCCTTACTGTTTAGGACACTCATCAGGTATTTGTGAATTGTTTTGGAATTTTTAAAATTGTTTTTCTTACTTCCTTCACAGTGACGATTCACAAACAGTGCCCAAACCTGTCACAATTTTAAATAACATATTTCTAAACGATCTAAGTAGTTTTGCTTTGAATATAAGCACATGAGCGTAGCCTACTAATCTTTGGGGGCTGAAATGCCTGAAGTGTAATCCCCCTCCAGCTTTTAACTTACGCCCATGTATAAATATTTTTAAAGCAAGGGTCACTTGTGCTCAAAAATAGTTATGCGTTACGTAAAATAGTGACAGGTTTGGGCACTGTTTGTGAATCGTCACTGTGAAGGAAGTAAGAAAAACAATTTTAAAAATTCCAAAACAATTCACAAATACCTGATGAGTGTCCTAAACAGTAAGGACACAAGGTGTCTTTGGATCAAAAATGCATTGTTGAAGAAAATATTTTTATTTAATTTTTAAACGCTGTTCACAAATGAAGATTTTTAAACTTTGCTGTGACTTTTGAATTTTGAATGCGCCCACCTCCTCTTGTGGTTGAGTTAGATTGAATTTTCCAAAACGACCGTATAAAAGAGACATGTAACTATTTAATTCCGAAAAGATTATCGAAATTGGTTGACCACTCTTGAAGATATATCCCAAAATACGAAGAAAATTTGTGATTTTCTTAAATTAAAGATACCGCAAATACCAGAGCTGATGGACTATAGGCGTAGTGGCAACTTATGCTTAGAAAAGCCTAATTTATCGAAATAAAATGATGGCAGGCCTGGACATCGACCCATGTCACATTTTGTCGGCCTGTGTTATTTTAAAATTATTGTTGGAACATCCCATTTATTGATATAAATTATAAAGCAATTTGATTTCAAAATACAATTTTTTTTCTGAGATTCTGCGTAATTGCACTCGTTGCAGGCGACTCCGCAGAACCGTATGTAGAGCCCAAAAGAATGTGAGACAAGGTCCGGACGCAGAACCTATAACGAGTACCAGCAGAAGCAGACATCGCAGTCAGCGGAATGGATTTATCTATCGTATATTACGGTTTAATCGGATGCAGCCCCTTAATATGTCCTTTAGTAACGTTGGATACCGACTGAATCCTTGCATACCCATGGCCGACACTTAGATGCAAAACCTTGACGCCTGCAAGTTGATTAACGTCCACGATACGTCGAGCATGAAGACAGAGGTGGGACTTGGAACTTACCAGCCCTTGGCTAGCTCGCCCACTAGTTATTCTTTGGATCTTGAGTGGGAGCATGAGTACCGCAGCTGAGACAGTATCAGTTGCGCCCTACGCCGCAAAAGCCACTCTGCGCGTCGCTAGATCAACTGCCAGTATCTACCGCGATGGCTAAAATTTAAGGACGACTTGCGGCTCGGCAAGCAAGGTTCAGCTGCCACCGCCACGAGGGCTCACTCCCGCGGAACTCATGCTGCTCATCCGCGCATATTTCTTGGTCCCACATATCTACCCCGGAGTCGCTTGAATGGGACGCTGATGAAGAACAGGGACAGCAACGGCAGCTTCGGCTGGGGGACGACAATCTTGACAATAGAACCCTTAAGCTACTGCATCAGATAGAACAGTTAAATCACAACGTTTTGCAGGAGACAGGAAGCGGACTGCGTACGGGATGGGGGCTGTAGAGGGGACCGAGGTCTTTCAGTTTGGCGATACGCAATTTGTCTTGATCAAAAGAAATTAAATTCCACCTAATACGTGGATATATAGTAATCTGATATGTAATGCTGCTAAGATATCCCCTGAAAATGCAGTTTGTTGCAGTCTCATCATAATCTATGGTTATTATTATTTTTAATCGACTTTTTCGCGTTTACTGTCCTACATTAAAATTTAAATGTAGACCCCACTGTAGGCTGAATAACCACTTTTTTGTCCAAAAACGAAACAACCTTTAAAAGTTTTTTTTTCAATTGAATCTACATTTTTTTTTTTTTTTTTTTTTAAATGGGCATGCTCACGCCTTTTAAAGAAAAACATTTTTTTATGACAAAAATAAATTTTACTCGTAGAGTAAAAGGGTATATTGTACAGGGTTTGAAAATGCTGTAAATGCTTCCTATGTTTTGCTTTTACTGTGCTACTGCTACGAAAGATTTTGGAAGTGGAAAGCAAAGCCGAAGCAAAATTAACGATAGCCAAAATTGACTGTTAAAATTTCGTCGGAAGCAATGTTATAGCAGCATTTTAGATTTAAAAGCAATAAATCGGTCTTGATATATAAATGTAAATGAACATTTTTCATGTTTAAAATTTATAAATTTATTCAGGGACCGTAATTTTTATTTTAAACAAGAAAGGAAGTTAATTTCGGCAGGCCGAAGTTTGTATCAACGGCTCCCGTTTAGGTATATCAGATGTATATTGGCAATTTTTTTAGATTTGGGTTTGAAAATGTCAGAAGTCAAAATGCCTACTTCATAACAAAAAGTATAATGTTCGAATATTCCTATGAGAGCCATATGATAAAGTGGTCCGATCCGGCTCATTCCGACATATGTACTACCCGCAGTAGAAATAAGACTTTTGGGAAAGTTTCTTGGCGATAGCTTTAGAACTGACAGACAAGTTCGCATAGAAACGGACAGACGGACAGAAGGACAGCCGGACATGGCTATATGGACTCGGCTATTGGTGCTGATCAAGAATATATATACTTTATGTGGTCGGAAACGTCCCCTTTACTGCGTTGCAAACATCTGACTGAAATTATAATACTCTCTGCAAGGATATAAAAAGTGTCAGTGCCTGTTGATATATTCAGTTATGATAAGTATGATCCACACAATTTATAGAAGCTATACAAAAAAAAATCTTGAATAACCGCGAATTCTTAAGAACAAAAGGCTATTCAGATGGTGTGTACCATTTTCTATACTGGGCTTAAAATGTATAAATGTATTTTGACATTTCATATTTTTGCCTATGCTTGCTTTCCTGTAAAAAGTCTGTTAATCTCACAGTAACAGTAAAGCATAAAAATAAGTGCTTCTCAGCTCACAGTTTTGAACCCCTGATATTGTATTCGTGCAAAAGTATGTAACAGCTAGACGGAAGCGTTTCCGACTAGCCAAGCCGATCTAGCCATGTCCGCCTGTCTGTATGGCGGTCTGTCTGTATGTCCGTCTGTCCCTCCGTATGAACGCTAGGATCTCGGAAAATACAAAAGCTAGAAGGTTGGGATTACTTGCAGATATTCTTTGGCTTCCTATGCAGCGCAAGTTTATTTCAAGCGAGCGCACGCCCCCTATAATACCCACTAATGATTTTAAAATGTGTCTTACGCCCACACCTTTAAAGATTTCGGAGAAGTATAAATGCATTTTTGTTGTGTATATTTATACCTATCGAAATTTTTCAAATCGGACCATTCGTTAAGAAGATATGCCCGATCAAAGTGTTCTAACTCCATCCCCCTCGCACTCCCTTTAGCTGAGTAACAATACTCTGATAGTCGGGGCACCCGACTGTACCGTTCTTTATTGTTTTTATTAAAATTTATATGTGGCCTCTGGGCACTGTTACAGAGAGTATTTGGGAAAAAGATAACGATTCTCAAAATTGACGAAGTTACCTCTGGATCAGCCCCTAAACTTGCAAGGAGCCAACTCGCGCTCGAAGCGTGAGCGTGATTGGGGCAGCATTTGATCTAAGACTACACAAAAGAAGTCACATTGGTCAGGAACATAACCTGACATCGGCTACTCTCGTGCTGCATATAGCCGCACATCGGCCACCGTCTTGCAAGCGAAGAGGCAAACCATTGTTTTATATAGCGTGGAGGCAGCAATATTTACCTCTTTCGACCCTGTTCCGACATCAGCGAGAAATATCCACTTTGGATTCAACGATCAACTGTGGGATGAACCCGCCACAATCGAAGAAAGTCACTCAGGAAGGAGAGACGATCTTTTCTCTCGGGATCGCGGACGGATCAGACGTCTGCTCCTCGGTTTCCTTTCGCAGGTAGAGGATCGCAAGACAGGCCAGCTTTGACGCCTGACGCTACCGTCCCCGGGCTTCTAATCGCGTGCGTTCCAACAGTTGGAGTTAGCCAAATTCTACGCAGTGGTTCGCGGGTGATCGTAAGGATGAAAAAGAGACATTTTGAAACGGCCAGTCGAGGTTAGTACGAAATAGAATAGAAGGTAATTGAAATAAATGGTAAAGTCCCTCCGGACCCAATTGTGGACCCTATTCCCGTTAGGTCCAGTAGTTACCTACGTTCCTCCGTAGTTTTGGGATTTGACATCTTTCCCGTGGACATCTTTCCCGCCTTATCCGTAGTTCTAGTTCTCCCGCCTTTTCCGTAGTTGGGACTTTCGTGTGGACATCCGTCCCGCCTTATCCGCAACCCTTGTTTTCCCGCCTTTTCCGTGTTTTTGGGATTCGAGCTTGGACACCCGTCCCTCGTGATCCGTCACCTTAGCCACCTCGTCTTCTTCGTAGTTTTGGGGCTCGCGCGTGGACACACGTCCCGGGTGGTCGATCGGGTCCAACCTCACCATCCTGTTACTACGCCCGCGGAGCGGAACCCCCTGCACCCAGAAAAATGATGGACAACATTTCAGGTCATGCATAGCCTAAAACATTTTAAATGGACTAAAAGTTCCTTTTTAGGTCATGTACTGCATACAAATTTAAATTTGTGGTATATTTGCCCTACTATTTAGGTCCCGTATAGCCTAATATTTTAGGTCATCGTGGGCCTTAAAATTAATGCATTTTACCTAAATAAATTTGCACGGAACTCTGATACCGTTCTGGCGACGCTGTAATTCCCAACCAGTTCTAGCGCGGCTTGCATGGTAACCCACTTCGATCGTTGACCAAGACAGCGATTTCACTGCTGATGATTGTATGCATGTACAGTGAAGTCTCTTCGCTCCTTTTTGTGTGTTGGCATAATGACGACTTCTTGAAGACTAAACCGACATTGACCTCGAGTTAGATACATTTTTCAGTACATATTTTTAGGCCAAAGAAAGCCTTAAATTTTGGATAGGGGTTTTCTCATATTTTTAGGCAGCCAATTACCTAAAATCTAGGCCAAAAATTACCCCCATTTTAGGCCATTAATGACCTAACTTTTTAGGTCATGGAATCCTAAATTTTAGGCCATTCTAGGACTTAGCTCCAGTTTTAGGCCAATTTTACGTAAATTATAGGCCATTTTTTGACATTTTAGGTCATTTTTTTTCTGGGTGTAGTCCGGTGTTTCGGTGATTTACGAATTTTCTTGTAAAGGACTCTTGGATCCGACTGAGATCTGTACCCCGGCCGAGAAAGCATCCTTACAAGTGGCGCCCGAGCAGGGACACCGAGACTAGCTAGGGACTTAGCCGAGGGCCTTAAGACTCACTGAAAAAAAGGAAGTCACCCGGAGAGTCAAGGCGCGACGACTGCCCCTACCCGGCGTCAGGAAGAATTAGGAGTATTTAAGGAGGAAGTCCTCCTTGGACGGCAATACGATAAAGCCGACTTTATCAAAAACCCTGGTGTAGGAGCTCGCTAGGTTTATGCTTGCGAAAAGACGAACTCAACTCCCTTGCCGTTGGGTTCGGCTTTAAAGCTGATGGTACCGTCGAATAGGGCAGGAAGGCGTTTGCCAACTTGGTCAGCTCAGGTTCCTTTCCACAACGGGTGTGGAACCCACTAGCTCAGCTGCAGGATTAGTATATCAGTCGGGTCCCGAGTCGTGTCCCGGCAGGAAAGAACGACGAGACGGGGCAATTTACGTAGTCTCTCCGGGTCTCCGGCGTATCCGACGCTGCGCCGATCGAGACTCCAGCCCGTCATCGAGGGATAAATCCAGGACCTAAACACACTGTCCGAGCGTCGCCAGCAGATGCCCACTTGTCTACTGGCCTGTAAAGGCAGGACATAATGAAGATAATTGGAATAAATGGTAAATAATATATAAAATCGCATATCTCGATCACGTGTTTTTTTTTCCTTTCTTAGACTAGGACAAAACCTAACCTCATTTAACTTCATTCCTACCACTGCTTTGGACCAGAAAGGGGACATCCTTCCCGTTCCTTCCAGAAGTCGTATTTTGTTCGTAGAAAAATATTACCGTGATGCCTTCGGACCAGTAGTTACCCCACCTTTTCCGTAGTATTGGGATTTGCGCGTGAACACCCGTCCTACACCATCCCTGGTGTAGGAGTTCGCTAGATTTACACTCGCGGGAAGACGAACTTAACTCCCTTGCCGTTGAGTTCGGCTTTAAAGCTGATGGTACCGTCGAAGAGGCCAGGAAGGCGTTTGCCATCCGGTCAGCTCGGACTAGCTCAGCTGCAGGAACAGTATAGCAGTCGGGCCCCGAGTCCTGTCCCGCCAGCAAAGAACGACGAGACGGGGCAATTTACAGAGTCCCTGGGTCCCCGTCGTCTCTGACGCTGCCCCGATCGAGGTTCATCGAGGGATACATCCAAGAACGGCACAAGGCCTCTGGGTGTCGCTGGCAGATGCCCGCGTGACCACGGGAATAATGGCACAGGAGGCGCGGAGTAATAAGACTCCCGCCCAGCATTTGCTTTCCGAGAAGATGCATAAGTGGAAACTGCGGCTCGACAATAGCTCAAACCCGTTGACGCTCATTGCCGAAAAAAAAGATGAGCAATAATATTTCTTCAAAAAAGTGGATTTAAAGTTCAAAGCCATTTAAAGCTGCAGAGAGTATTTGGGAAAAAGATGATTCTGAAAATTGACGAAGCTAGTTACCTCTGGATCAGCCCCTAAACTTGC